TGCTGCCTATCACACATTCTGCTATCACACATCACTAAAGACTAATTGCGGTTGCCATACAGCCTGCCAAGTCTGGCAACTACTAGCAAAACTATATATATATACTATAAGTAGACTATACTATGCTCAGCAATTTGATATTGTGAGTCTATTGCTGTTTATAACAGATACTAACAATGACATAGTAGTTTTATTATCATCTTTCATATTAAATTCGTTTGTACGATATTTACCACAGTCGAAGACAATGTCACTATAGATTTATTACTTAGAAAATGCAATGGATCCTTGGCTACATTTACTGCTTTGCTATATGGTACTGCTCATGTCTATAGGCGACGGTTACCACTTTCCATCAGGTAGGCCGTCAGCTTGCTTGCCATTCTAAGTCATGTATAAAAAAAAAATTGTGGTATGTTACCAAAATATTATGAGTATTATATTACATTAGATTATGAACGTTGTCCGTAAAGTCCCTATGGACCAAATATAATTTTCCTAACCACGAGACTGTTCAAATTTGATTTCGCCAGCACAACTCGTTTGCATAATCCTTACTGTTTATTTAACTTTTTAATAACTCTTAACCCCTAATGAACTTGTTGATGACTCTTGTAAAGGCCACAACCTCTGGGACATAAAACTGAATGGTTTAAATTTGGGCAGCCACCTACACTAAACAGTTTTATACCGGTGAATTTTAGTAATTAAGGCACCCACATACTGTAGTGCTATTCTCTAAGCAAACAGCCTAGACATCAGCCTTGACGCAGCGATGAAATATTGAAATGGTATTCACTAATTCTTAAGACGCGACACTAGCGCCCAAAGACGAGCTCAAAGACGAGCGGCATAAACGGGAACTACTCAAGGCTGTGCGATTTGACATTTTGCCATAGTATTTGGTATTCACTAACAAAAATCAGCCTCGCCTTCGCCGACAGCCTAGCCTACAGCCTCGATTTCTTATGTCAAACTCAAAAGCTTTGTTTTCTACGCTGTTTGCATAGTATTCATCTAATATATTTATTTGTTTCTTGAATTCTGTGATTATTAATTGTATTGAAATTATCAATTTGTGTTTAAAAACGATTGCTGCCCGTTTATGTGTAATGACCCATTTGTTGAAAGAAGCTAAAATAGAAAATGATTGTAAGAAATGCCGACAATCAACAACTTTATGTGATGTGGATTATATTCATCATTACCGACTTTCTGAAGAATTAATCAATATGTTAGAAAAAGAATTGTCACCGTGTATGCCTGTTCCAGAGAGTTGTTAAAGCTAAAGGTTTGTAACTTAAATTTTATTAATTGATGGTATTAGGTACATAAATAAATTTAAAGCAGGAAAAATAATACTTTGCAGTGATTGTGTGCACTTGTTTATTTTATTGAGACAAGCTTAATTGTGTCAGCAGATGTTTGTGTAGGGAACAACTAGCTAGTTAATAATGGTGTGTAACAAGTATTCTAGTATGCATAATAATACTTCTGGTGTTACAAATATTCATGGATCATGGTAACCGTTTCCCATTAGGTGATCCATAAGCTTAGTGGCCTCTGGTTTTGTATAAAAATAACTATGTCTAATATGTTAGAAAGAAACCAACTTAGTTAAACATGTAGTAAATTATTAATTCATGTCAATAAATTTTTGTTAAATTAGACCACTAAATTTAGCATTCAGGTTGGAACTATTATAAAAAATTGTTTCAAAATCATAGTTTTAAAAAACATGACACACATAAATTCAGGATTGGCTATGTGGCTAATTAAAAATAATTAACATTACTTGTTTTTTTTCAGGTGATTTTGAAACTCATTTAGTAGCATGACACAAACCCTTGGACAGCCACAATAATAGTAGTGTATTGCTGTATTGTTTGTGATATGCTGATAATATGATGCAGTTACATCATCTATACAAAATGAAGAAGCACAAAAGAAAATTTTGTAGTCTGAAAATAAGCTAGCTATACTTTTTGTACTTATATCTTAAAACTATTTTCAAATACTTTTTTATTGTTACATTTTTGTCTACCTGTGAATTAAAATTAATATTATATTATATTGTAAATGTATATTTTAATTTAAAATTATTATAATTAATTCATATTATAACTAGTATGGAGTAAGAAATTAAAAAAAATATTCATTAAAAATTATTTATTTAAAATTGAAACAAGTTTATAATTATAAAATTTTATTGTAATTGTGTTTTTATTTGAAAATTATATAAGATGAAACTTATATTTCAAAATTACTAATGACTATTAAATGACATAATTTAATCTTATATTTTCAATAATGAACTTGATTTAACTAATAATTCCAATAACTCTTGTTATGTTTGGCAGTGTATATTTTTAGAAATGTATTATTGTAAAATCTATTAGTATTTTAAAAACCAAAATTGAGGTTTCTCCCCTTCTTCACAATGGATGGTAGAATCATAAAGAATTACCATTTATAATATTTTAAATTTAATTGAATAAAAATTATTTGACATTTTTTTAATTTTTTTTTTAATTAAATCGTACAATGGCTGACTTTAATTTAGTCATATCTCATTTATTAGCTATAAGATATGAACTAGTGTTGTCTGATTCTCTATCAAAATTTGTTCTGTCTCTACTCGGTGCTCTTCAGTGGCAACAAATCTTTGTGAGACTACTCTCTTTCTAGTTGAGGCTGCTATTGTGAAGGAGATAAGTGTCATCGGGATACTGTCAGTCAAATGACGGCGTGGACCTAAAAATAACAATAAGACCAATTAGACACATAATTCTAAAATTATAAATTAGTTATTTATTTAAGATACTCCACAAAAATATAATTAATCCTTTTTTCTGTTCGTGTATGTCCTGTCACAAGCCATGTCTGATTCTTTATATATTCCATCAGCATCTCCGACTACTTTGCGAAGGGACCTCATTTCATGGCATGTTACGAGATATGCATTTATTTTAGTTACTAAAAATATAACCTTAAAAACAATATAAGTAAATAAAAAGCACATTTTACTTACGTATTTGATAGATACATCCAAACTTATAAAACGTTGGTAAAGTTACGTTAATTTTATTAATTATTTTTAAAAGAGAATAAACAAATACAAAAAGTGCGCCTCTGGAATGTTAAGTACAAGGAATATAATACTCTCTACGTACCTACGTATAAGTGTTATTTGTTTATTTTACGGCAATGGAAGCAAGGGTATTCAAACAAATCTTAACTTTAAAAAACAAAATCAAATGTTTAATGTATAAATTTATGTTTATTTTATATAATATTTATTTAAATAACATTCTAAACTGAATAAAACATTCCATTTGTCAATAAAATATTATATTTCTACAGTTATCGGTTTCATTTTACGGTTTTTGTTGCAAGCCCTATCTCGTCCGTGCGCACAGCCTCGAGTTATCACAGCCTACAGTTCGTCGATGAGGTTTGACACGTTAGTGAATACCAATTACCGCAGCGCTGTAGCCACGGTCGTTCGCAAGGCTGATCAGCCTAGAGCTCGTCGGCGGGCGCAGCGTTGCGGTAGATTTTTAGTGAATAGCATTGCTGTACTTGATCTAACAAAATTAATGGTTTTACACCACTAGGAAGTTGGAGATGGGCTGACAAACTTTATAGCTACACTTGCTGTTTCCCGTGGCTTTGGCCGCGTTAATTAGTATATAAACTATTTACTACTACTACTTTTTTATGACACTTGTATAAATTACAAACAATCTAACAGCTCATCTGGTGGAAAGTAGTAACTGTTGCTTGTAGACGACACCCACGAGAAAGAAGGGGTGGCCCATTCTATGCTAGGAGCATACTTTTTTATGTACCTTGTATAAATTACAATCTGACGGCCCATCTGGTGGAAAGTGGTAATTGTCGCTTGTAGGCCCAAATAGCACCACGGATATCACAGATCACATTGTTAATCTCATGGTAGCCCACGTGTATTGGCATTGGCTTGAGGACTAAGGTGTTATGCTTCCATATTCTAAATTGTCTGTGCCACTGTTTAAAATGAATAACATAATGGATATGTTACTAATTTTAAAAACAGCTGGTCAGTAACAGAAACGTGAAGTAGAACCTATGCAATGACTTCAGCACTTTGTATTTCTATCTTGTAAACCTTATTAATGCGAATTGAAGCTATTTGTTAGTAGATATCTTAAAATACTTTTAATGCATTTGTACATTTCTTTATTTCATGAACCCAAGTCCATTTACCTTCTCTATGTAAACTTTGATTTCCTTATCCCGGCGCAACTTTTATGTAATATATGATCCTTCCTTTTCTCGAGTGTTTGCTATGTCCTGCCTGACCCATAGGTATCAAGACGTGACCTGTGTAGTAATAGTTAAACATAACAAAACGTGTCTTACACAGGATAGAATATTATTTATTCATTTTGAACTTTATTCCCTTGTTTTACAGTACATATGTACAATATAAGATGACAGAATAAATTTTGGTCGGAGGACAGAGGCTCCCACTGGCGAATTCGTGAATGGGCCCAGTGATTAGGTGGAACATTTCCAGTGAGACGAGTGGCCTAAAAATAGCTTCCCGGACATACTTATTTGATCGCGCACTTACAATGGAATGGTACTCTATTTTCAGTAAAGTGGAGGTATCTATATAAATATTGTTAGAAACATCAATTATGTTTACCATGTTAGATAGCAATATTTTTTTTATTGGGTGATAATGGTATGGGAACCCCGTCTGCGATATCGGTATATAATGGCGGGGCACCAGTGAGAGATGACTAATGAGGATGAAAGCAGGCCAGTTAGCCCATCCTGACGAATTCAACTATAATTAGCCCACGACATTCCTAGATCCGCAATGTTATGCCGTGTATACAGATGGCAGCAAACGAGAGGAGGGTGTAGGAGCTGCTGTAGTCGCTCATCATCTTAATAGAAAATTGTATACTAAAAAACTAAAGCTTCACCCTACTTGTTCTGTGTTTCAGGCAGAGCTCCTGGCCATTAAGCATGCTTGCGAATGGGTTCTCAAAAGTGAGCATACTCCGGCTGTAGTAATGTCCGACAGCAAGTCTTCCTTAATGGAAATTAGCAACCCAAACAGCACCAACTCGCTGGTCGTCGATATTCACGCATCTTTACATGAAGCTGATTCACGAGGCTTGACAATATCCTTCGCGTGGCTCCGCTCTCACGTCGGAATCGACGGCAATGAAGCAGCAGATACTGCCGCTAGAGCCGCGGCTGTGGGACGCTCCGCGACTGCATTCTCACTATTCCCTATGTCCTACGTAAAACATCATTATCAAACACTGGGCAAGGACGCAGAGAGACGGATGTTTGAAGACCCTAACAAGTGCTGCCACCTAAAAAAGTGGTGCCCATCATTTGATATACTCCAAGAGGTCCTAAGCGTATTGAAACCTGACTTTTACATTACACAACTTTTAAGTAACCATGGCTATCATAAGGAATACCTTTGCAGATTTCATATAACAACTGATGAATTATGCCCATGTAATAACACCGACATTCAGAACCTTGAACACCTCCTGAAATACTGTCCCCGTTTCGCCAGCAGCCGTTTAAATCACCAACTAGCATGCCAACTATTAAACATTACGGAACCATACTCTCTTCAGCACATAATCAAGAAGGAAAACAGTACTAATTCATTCAAAACGCATTTGGTAAATATAACAGATAGCCTAAAGGCATTTAATAACACGTAATAATAAACTTATACAAACTATATTTATATATATTCCCCCTGATATATTATTATGTAAGTATAATAGACCTAAATACATATATATTTATATATATTTAACTATCAAGTGCTTCTAATAAAATGCGCTCAAACTTTATGTGTTATAATACAATTCTTCATATGCGAAATACAAGGGGAAAACCCGATGTAAACCACTAGCATTGGGATTTTCAAATACCCTTACATATAAAAAAAAAAAAAAAACTATAATTAGCCACGATGGTTTCCAGGGGGAACCACGTTGAGGTCGACCTGACAGGGTATATTGCTAGTAATGGGGTTATTCGACCCCATTACTAACAATCTCTTTCCCATCAAAGGATATTGCAATATTATATTATTTATAACATATTTATTATATTAATTATAACAAGTAACTATAATTTTCTAATCCTTATAATATTTATTTTTTGGAGTCAGTGTAATATTTGTTTCTCGTCCATTCTTTACTATTCTCAGTCAATAGTTACCTACAAATTAAAAGCAGGTAATATATAGCAATAGCTATATATTGTAGTTACAATATCTATACATATATTGGATCAATAACAGATATATTAAATAAGTGTTGTCCAATATACAATATCGGTTTGAAGGGTGGGATATGGCGTGAATTTACAGGGTACAGAGGAATAACATCTGAGTCCTCAGGAATGGCAACGCATGGATGGGCGAAACAGTATACTCTGTTACTTTCATGGTACTGCTCATGTCTATAGGCGACGGTTACCTCTTTCCATCAGGTGGACCGTCAGATTGTTTGCCATTCTAAGTTGTATAAAAAAAATTTAAAAGAAGAATCCGGTTGTAATGAATATAGATATCGGACTGGTATTGTCGATATCGAAATGAGTGGTTTTTTTTTTCAATGGGTGAAAATGGTATGATAACCCCGCCTGCGCTAACGGGTGAAATGATTGGTTATCAATGTCCAGAAGAATCGAATACGAGTATATAGATATCGGATATTACCCATCTCTACTACCAATACAGGTACCTACATTAAATAAGATAGGTACCTAATACATAATATAGGTACCTAGATTTAATAAGAACATAGGTTATGTAAATAGAATATTATGTTGATGACCTTCCAAAATATGCCTAAAGGAATGTATATCATAAATATTTTACTATAAGAATAGGCAATTTACTCTTATAACATTAGCGCAGAGTTCTTTGGACTTTTGTATTATTATATTTACTACCTATATCTATACCTGTTTTACTTGACGCTCTATATAAAAGTATATTATGATCTAAGAAGTTCGTGTCACTTATTAGGTACTTGAACTTTTTTTTATTTAGGTATAACATAAACAAGTCATTATTAAATACGTAAGTCGTCGTAAGTTTTATACTATTGTGCCGAATGACATTATGAGGTAATTGTTATACGTAAGTACATAGGTACATACTATTGTACGTTTTCTATTTCAACACGACCTCACTTTACTGTGGGAATGGGCACGGAACATTTATACGGAAAAGTAAATGTAATTCTGTTAATTAATGTATACCCACTAGAGGTCAAGGACATTTAAATTGGTTGTTAAATTTGTAGAGATGCTTTTTATTGAATTTGGAATTTTATACAGCTGTTATTTTGTATGTCTACTGTATTTACTTCCATAATCGTGTTTAATCATACCGTTTGAGCTCGGCGCTCCAAAATATTAAATTATTAATTACAAGGATAGCATCTAATTTCGTTTGATTACATATTTATGTCATCAATGACATCTAGTCTTTTTTTTCTACAACAACATGTCTTCTCATTGTCCGCCAGATGGTGTGGGTGGGCGAGGTATGGGCTTCGGGGCGTACCCCACTACCCCGGCTTCAACGCCGGAGGCAACAACTTCTGGGTCGCTGGATTTGCAGCCGACATACACTGATGGTCTGTTCATGTTCATCAGCTTTCAACAAACTCTTATTTTAGTAGAATTGGACGACATTAAATATAGTTAATAAAAGAGTAAATTATAATTCTAATTATCATAAATTTTATCTTTTAGTAATTTTCGAGAGTTTATTATTTTTAATTTATATAATATCCTTTTCAAGAAGTATCTATATGGAATTTCATTTATAAATAAGACTATAAAATGTCATACATAATAGATAGATAAATGATTTGTAAATTTGTATAAAGTAGGTTTTCCAATAAAAATTAATAGCGCCATCTAAAATTTAATTCTTAATTATTTTACTTAATATGACAATATATAATGTTTTAACGCCATCTGTGAAAAAAATATGGAACTATCAATGGCTGTCTATTGTCTGCCTTATAGTTGATACGGCAGGCAATTCCTGAACTCTATATTTTCTATAATATTGTATAGATGGCGCTGTAATTAAAACGTCAATTTATAAAAAAAAAAGAACAAGGTAGTTTTAGTAATATTAACATCTATATCTATGAAAAATGTGTAGGTATTTAATAAGTTCTGACTTATTAAATATGCTATGCAAGAATGAATGCAAGCTAACAATTTTACAATAATGTTTAATACTAGTTTTTGCCCGTGACTTCGTACATGGAGATTTTGGAAGTTTTACTTTCTAAGGGCTTGAATTTTCAAAATTAATTACTTATTGTTCACCTACGCTATATAAAGATGCAGAATTTTAAGATTTTAAATTCAGCGGTTTTAGCTGTGTTGATATATGAGTCAGTCAATCAGTTAGGTCCTATATAGGTAATATATAATTTACATACAACCCATGGAAGGATAGGTTTTATATAGCAGCGCCCATCTTAACACTATCACCAAAAGCCTAACTGCAGTTGCCAATCTATAGTTTTTAAGTATACTTACTAACAAAAAACGGACTTAAGTTGGCAGAAATAAAAAAATACATTAATTAATTAGAAAAAGGACCCAATAAAATTTATAGAGGCCTATCGATTGCAAAGAAATTATTAAAATCGGTTAAGAATTAGCACACATGTCGTAAGGGTAAAAAAACACAGATGAATTGAGTAATTTCTCTTATTGGAAGTTGTTTAAAATTAGAGAGAAAGGTCCCTAGTTTACGATGAAATCCTTACTAACATTATATGAAAGTGAGTTTCTTTATTCGTTACATGGAATCGCTGTGAAGTTTGATGTTCTCGTAATATTTGGAATAGAGAAGGTCATAGGCCGCTTTTGATCCCGATTAATAGAAATACTTATTTCGGTTACGCGGACTCAGTCGCGGGTAAATACTATTAAACATAAATATTGCACAAAATGTCTTTAGCAATGTATTATTTCTATATACGAATGCTAATATTAGAATTTGGAATGTTCCGTATCGTAAGTATGAAGGTAACAATAGAAGCACGTTCATTAAATTGGCTCAGTCGTCGTATTCAAAGCCCAATGGATGCAATCGTGAATATCTTTGTCTCGAAGTTACAGCAATTTCGCAGTGCATTCATGAGTTGAAATAAAAGCTTTCCCGTGTCATAACTGTGGCCGGGAGCAGTCGTAAAATATTGAGTTGGAATAAAGTTCAGATATAATCCACTTTAAAGTGGTTATTTACAACTATCGCAGCTTGCGGCTAAACAGGAAACGTTCGAGTTAGGTGCTTTTGTGACAGAGTAGATACTTTGTTTGAAACAAAATCTTATCTATTTATATTATGTTATAATCCTTGCATATAATTTAAATGTAAAAGTGACTTGGTTTACTATTTCTTGACGTTGATCTACGTCTTTAATGACTCAATCTATCGTCTTGTAATTTGTGGGTAAAAACTAATATAGTATAATAAAAAATCACACAGTGCCATCTGCTATATAATATTTGCTGATCAATCTCAATTATTTCTGGACATTGAATTTTTATTAAGTGCAGTTCTTACCCCCGTCTTTAGATATAAAATAATCTTGCTTACAATGGCACGATCTATTAACGAGTCAAACAGAAAGAACAATTTTTCTAAAATTATGATGTCAACAAAGAAAACAAATCTACCTAGACAGGTAACTACTATAAGAAACCGTTATATTGTGAAAAAAAAAATCGGTTAAGTGCGGGTTGAACTCACACGCGGAGGGTTTCGTATGTACGTATATAAATATGACATAAAGTGACTTTTATTGCATTTCTTATACCACATAGACACCAAGTAGTTATTTTCACTAATACTATAACTCGTAACATTTTATTTTGAGCCATAATTGTAGTTAAAAACTGAATGGACCGCATAGCTATGTTTGTTTTCGAATGTTGTTGATAATTTCTCAAAAACAGTGTTACTAAAAATATCGTTTTATTAT